CAGCGAAGCTCCGACTGCTTCTTTCATTGGCTTTTTGATCCTTCTCCTTCAGGGCTTCGTGTACTGGAACGAAGGGTGGAGTAAATCTCTTTGGTGAATTGCTAAGTGTGTTTGGCGATGCTCGGGCTTCAACTTCTTCGTTCTTTTCAGCCTTTTTGTTCCTTTTTGCGCCTAAGTGTCCATGCTTTCACTAAAACTTCAAATACCTAAAACTTAAGAGTTTTCATCAGATATTTAAACAAAATAAGCATTCGAGGACACTATTCTTATCAAAATAAAGCCCTAAATGAGTCCAATTTGTGGACTCATCAACACCCCCAACTTAAAATTTTGCTTGTCCTCAACTAAACTCAAGTTCAGCCATTCAAAAAGGGTGTCTCAAATAGTGCTGCACAAGACTCATTCATTAACATACACAAAAAGATTCAAACTTATTCAAAGATCGACACTGTAGTCAAAGATTGAATTTGTGACACACCATAATCAGAGATTCTCATGCTCGCAATACCTTCTACTTGTGCAAGTTCAAGCTCAACAAAAAGTATCTAAATGCCATGACGTGAAGAATGATTCCATATTCATACACAACGATTAATTAATTCAAGATCACGAATCAGATGCAATGCTCACACTCGTAAAGAGGAAAACAATGCATGTTTTCACCCATAGGTTTGCCCTTATTTTCCAATCGACTTTTGATTCGGCTTACTGAAGATCAAAAAGGTATTTCTAAGGCTTGTAATTGGGTTGAGTGTAAATGTATGGTCATTTAGGCTCAGTGACTTTTTCATCCTCGTGAGATGTGGTATTCTCAAGGCATTCCCTTCTCCTCCTTTATCAATTGTTTTTCTAATGCTTCTAAGTCACCTGTTTATTCACCTTCATGGATTGCTTGGAAACCCAATTTCCTTCGTACCTTATTCCACAATTTTTTTTTAATTGAAAGGGTTTCCACTTATGCAATCCCATGGGTTAGGGGGGACTTTTTCTTGCACTTCTTGGCTTCTCCTTTTCCTTTTTACCACACCCCCAACTTAGACTTTTGGCCTAAATTGGCTATTCACTAAATCACAAATTAAGAGAATTGTAGGTAGTGGGTCAAGTAAGATCTAGGATTCATCTAGGTTCTTCAAAAGAAAGGTAAGGCTCAAAGGGTGTTCAAAAGAGTTTCACACACTCACGGGTAGGCCACAAAAAAGGTATATGTCAAATTTGGCACACACTCTTTAAAGTTGCCTAAATCAATCAGACTAACAGGGCAAATTCTAGGTTTATTCATGCATGGTTCAAAGCAAGCTAATTATATAAGGCATCAACACTTAAGTCAAACAAGATTACACACTTTCGTTGGTGTGCAACGGTCATAACAAGAGAATTAATTCGATAAATGGATAATCAGAATGAGATGCAAAGAGTTCACATAGTGTCTATGCAACTTCATTTGGCCTCATCACAGCCATACATTTATATTCGTTCAATTGACAGCACTATTCAAGTCATCGGTATTGATCAAAATCGAGACTTAATTTTTTGCAAAAGAACAACCACATTCAACTCACGAGGGGTGGCAAAAATGTACGAAAAATTCAAAAAATTTCAGAAGGGTCAAAATCATTTCGCAATTAAAAGTAAACGGAGCCACGAGCTCAAACATCCACAGAAAAGAAGTAATTAACACAATTATAAACAGAACAACACAAATATATACAAAACACGAATTAGAAATAACGCACAAAAGGTGAGCCTCACCCCACCACAAATAAAAGCATTTGTCCTTAAATGCAAATAATACAGAATTTAAGAGGCAAGTTAAATAAAGATAAGACATAGAGGTGAAGAAATGATCCTGGTTATGCAGTTTTCTCCATCTGTCATGGCATCAGTCCATTTTTTTTTGTTGGCGATATCAGGTGTAATTGCCGAATATCTTGGCGATTCATTGAGTAAGAACTCGACTCACCGAGTTTTACAAAATTTGCAGTCATTGTGAAGATCCAAACGACAATTTTCATCGAGATTGCCAAAATTGTCGATGAATCGCAGATAATCTCTAAATCTCACCGAGTTTAACAGACTTCAATGTTTACGATGTTCTGAGTCAAACGGCGGATACGGTCGGATTCATTGACTCATTCGGTGACTCGCTGACATGATTTAGTGTTTGTCATCCTTCATTCATTTTAGTACATTTACCAGCACAAATAACATACCATTTTATTACTGGAAATAAGTACTGACAATAATAAAAGTAAAGCAAGTAAAGGGATTTTGGGTTGCCTCCCAAACGATGCCTTAGTTAACGTCGCAGCACGACGTAGCAGCGCCTTCAGGCATCTTCCAAATATACCACTTCAACCAACGAAATCTCTTGATAATCTCCGAGATACTATTTTGGACGTTGACCATTCACTGTAAATGGAGGTCCTTCATGATATTTAACTTCTATGGCACCATTAATGAACATTCGCGTTACTGTAAATGGTCCAGACCATTTGGATTTGAGCTTTCTGGGGAAGAGTCTAAGTCGGGAATTGTATAGCAGAACCCAATCTGCTACCTTGAAGTCTCGCTTGAGTATCTGAGCATTATACCATTTCTTTATCTTCTGCTTATAGATGGCTGAACTTTCATATGATCTGAGTCCGAATTCACCCAGTTTGTTCAGCTGCTCTGTTCTGTCTCTTGAAGTTTTTGACCAGTCCAAATTTAAAGCTTTCAATACCCATAATGCTTTGTGTTCTAATTCAACGGGTAGATGAAAATCCTTACCATAAACTAATTGATATGGAGATATCTCGATAGGTGTTTTGTAACCTGTTTGATATGCCCATAGTGCATCATCGAGTTTCCTAGACCAATCAGTTCTACTGACATTTATTGTCTTGGCCAAGATGCTTTTGATTTCCCTATTCGACACTTTGACTTGGCCACTTATTTGGGGATGATATGGGGTTTCCACTTTGTGTTTCACCATATATTTACTCAGTGCAATTGAGAACCACTCATTACAAAAGTGGGATCCCCCATCGCTTATGATTGCTCTCGAAATGCCAAATATGGCGAAGATGTAGCACTTCAAGAATTGGACAACGCTTTTTCCTTAATTGTTTAAAAGTGTGATGTCCTCCACCCATTTGGAAAGATAATCCATAGCCACCAAGATATATTTATTTCCAAACAAGCTCATAAATGGGCGCATGAAGTCTATCCCCCATACATCAAATAGCTCAACCTCTAAAATAGGAGTGAGAGGTAATTCGTGTCTTCTAGACACTCCACCTTGTTGCTGACATTTAGAGCATTTCTTTACAAACTCATGTGCTTTCTTGTAGAGTGATGGCCAGTAATATCCACTCTGGAGAACTTTAGCGGCGGTGCAAAAACAACCATGGTGACCTCCCACTGGTGATGTATGGCAAGCATGGACAATTTCTACCACTTCTTCTTCTTCAGGAACACACCTTCTGATGACATGATCAACACACTCTCGGAACAAGTATGGGTCGTCCCAAAGGGACTTTTTAACATCGAACAGGAATCTCTTATGTTGGTGAAAGGTCAACTCATTCGGCATCAGCCCATACACAATATAATTTGCAAAATCAGCATACCATGGCGTATGTTTGAGGGATATTGCAAACACTCATTCATCTGGGAAAGAGTCATCTATGTCAACCTCATGCTCAACATTCTCCTTTGCTTCTAGCCCTGATAAATGGTCAGCCACTTAATTTTCGCACCATTTTCGATCTTTCACCTCGAAATCAAATTCTTGTAATAGTAGTACCCACCTAATCAATTGTGGTTTTGCATCTTTCTTTGCCATCAATTAATAGAGTGCAGCATGATCAGTGTGTACGATTACTTTGGTACCTAGCAGGTACGCCCTGAATTTGTCGAATGCATAGACTACTACAAGCAACTCTTGTTCGGTGACCGTATAATTTTGTTGGGCACTATTTAGTGTCTTGCTTACGTAGTAGATTGGGTGAAACAGTTTGTTGTGCTTCTGCCCCAACACAACCCCTAGTGCCATACTGTTCGCATCACACATTAACTCAAAAGATTCAGATCAATTAGAGCTTATGATCGGGGTGGATATTAGTTTGTCTTTCAAAAACTGAAATGCAGCCATACATGCATCATTAAAGTGGAATTTCACTTCCTTCTCTAGGAGTTTGCATAATGGGAGTGCAATCTTTGAGATGTCTTTAATGAACCTTCTATAAAATCCTGCGTGCCCTAGGAAGCTGCGAACACCCTTTACTGAAATCGGCTGGGGTAGTTTCTCAATGACCTCAATCTTTGCCTTGTCAACCTCCAGCCCCTTTTGTGACACCTTATGCCTAAGAACAATACCTTCTTTTACCATAAAGTGACATTTCTCCCAATTCAGAACCAGATTTGTTTTGACGCATCTTTGGAGTACCTGTCCTAAGTGAGTCAAGCATTCTTCGAACGTATCCCCTACGATTGAGAAATCGTCCATGAACACCTCCATAGAGTCGTATCTGCAAAAATAAACAACATGCAATGTTGAAATGTTGTTGGGGCATTACATAGCCCGAATGGCATTCTTTTGAATGTGAAAGTTCCATAAGGGCAAGTAAAAGTGGTTTTCTCTTGATCTTCCGGTGTATTAGAGATTTGATTGTAGCTGGAGTATCCATACGAAAAACAGTACCACTCACTTTTTGATGACCGATCAAGCATATGATCCATAAAGGCATCGGAAAATGGTCTTTCTCGGTCCATGAGTTAAGCTTTCGGTAGTCCATGCATACTCTAAAGCCAGTCACTGGTCTTGTTGGGACAAGTTCTTTTCTATTCGGGACTACGATTATGCCTCTTTTTTTGGGGACACATTGCACCGGACTTACCCACTTACTATCTGCAATAGGGTATAACACCCCTGCATCTAGCCACTTGATGATTTCCTTTTTTACCACCTCTTGCATTGGAGGGTTTAATCTCCGTTGATGTTCCACACTAGGCTTGCATTACTTGTCGAGCCAGATTTTGTGAGTGCAGATGCCAGGAGGAATTCCTACTATATCGGCTATTGTCCATCCAATAGCTTTTATATGCTTCTGCAGTACTTCAATCAACAATTTCACCTGCCTTTCAAGCAGATTAGCGGCAATAATTATCGGTAGAGTATTATTGGCTCCTAAGAAGGTATATTTGAGATGAGAGGGTAGGACTTTTAACTCCAAATTCGGTGGTTCTTCTGTTGATGGTTTAGCAGGGGGACTTTCTCTGTTTTTCAGATCGATATCCAATTTGATTGGATTCCTTGAATATCCTCCTAATCCTGATAAAACAACTACCATTTCCTCGTAACCCTGAACTTCAGATTCAACATAATTAGCAAGCACAGATTCAAGGGGATCATTCTTGCGCATTAAATGACTCACACTTGCCACTGCCTTATATATGACATCCTCAGTGGACACCACATGGATGTTACTTGGTTGCTTCATGGACTTACAAATATTGAAGGTCACCTTATCATCATTCACATAGAACTTCAATTTCCCTCTTTCAACATCCACCAGTGCTCTCCCTGTAGCTAAGAAAGGCCCTCCCAAAATAATGGGAATTTCAGCATTGATCTCAAAGTCTAGAATCACAAAATCAGCCGGAAAGATGAACCGATCCACTTTTACTAATATGTCATAGAGTATTCCAACTGGGTGCTTGATTGATCGATCAGCCATGAAGAGTCTCATTGTGGTTGCCTTTGGTTCACCCAAATCAAATTGCTTGTATATTACATAGGCAATCAAGTTGATACTTGCCCCTAGGTGGCACAAGGCTTTAGCAAATTGGAGCATGCCAATCGTGCACGGGCTTGTGAATGCTCTAGGATATTCTCTCTTAGTGATTGAATCATTTGTCATAATTGCACTGCAACTATGGGGGCATATTTATCGTTTCATATTCCATGCCCCTTTTCTTTGTAACTAGTTCTTTCATGAATTTGGCGTATCTCGACATTTCCAACAATGCTTCTACCAGAGGAAGGTTGATTGATAAGATCTTGAATACTGACAATTTTTTTTTGAACTTCTCATCTTCATTCTTCTTTTTCAAATGATGGGGAAATGGTGGAGGTATCTTGGGTAAGGGATGTATGACTTTTGGAACTTGAACTTGTTAATTTGTTGATGCTTATCGTGATCAATGACACTAACGTACGGTATGAGTGTCTACGATCGTCGATAGTATAGTAACCCAACTAAAGGTTGGGGTCGTGTCCCAATGGAGCAGCTTTGAGAATTGATAGAAAAATAAAATTACATTCTAACTAGTCTTAGCTAAAGATATTAATGAACAAAAACATAGTAAATTAAAAGGGTGATACGAAAGTGTCAGATATCAAATGAGGGTTTTGTAACAAGTGATAGAACACCAAAATAAACAAGAACATCAAGTATGGGGAAAAGTTCTTACGATGTTACCGCAATACAAGTTGAGATAAATCGTTGGATACATGCTTTCAATAGGAAATTTGCAAGACAATAGTGACTAGGCTAAGCTTTAAATGGAAATAAGTTCTCGGGCAACTTACCCCGTTTCAAATGCGTTCCTCTCGGACACCCATTTGCCACATGAAAACCAGCCTACGCCTTACCCCACTCACTCTCTCGAGCTGAGTGTTAGAATATGGGACTAGGGCTCACCCTCTCGGGCTGAACCTCATGTCGACCCACTCCTTAGGCCATCAGTCTAGTGGTTTTGGTATTGCGACCTCCCTCTCGAGAAAGCCGAAAACACATGGGTGGATTTGTATTTGCAACTACAAACCCTTTAGATTAAACCACAACCACTAGGGTAAATCCCCATTAACATACATCGAACCTATCATCAAGCAAAGACACAACAAGAATATCAACCCATATTTGCTAAATCACACCCCAAGAATGGGGGGTTTTTAGCCACACATCAAGAAATAAGAAATTATACCTAACGTGATAAAGCTTTCAACTGGGTATAAGAAATTAAACCTTGAATTATGCTACGGAAGAAGAATAAAGAAGACTTAGTTCCAACTTGGGGAAGATGAACTCCTTTCTTCAAGTCTCCACAAAACCCTCTCCAAACTTGAGAGAAAAATACAGAGAAATACTATAGACTAATAATAATTTTTAGTCTAAAATGTTCCACCCTAAGACTACAACTCTAACTAGTATTTATAGTTTTCACAGATTGTGCTGCGAAGGATCGTTTGGTGACATTAGTCGAGATCGCCGATAAACTTGGTGATCCGCCCTTGAATAAGCTCATCGCCTTCAGTTTCTTGCCTTAAGCATCCTCATATTCTGGATCATTGGGCGATACAGTACTACTTCACGAAACTAATTGGCGACTCACCGACTGCTTCTTTCCTCGCATTTTGATCCACTTCCTTCAAGCCTTCACGTACTGGAACAAAGGGCGGTGCATGTCAATTCGGCGACTCGCCAAGTTGGACTCGGCAATCTGCATACTTTCATTTATTGTTCTTTTCAGCCCTTTTTGCTCCGTTTTGTGCCTAAGTGTCCATGCTTCCAGTAATACTTCAAATACCAGAAACTTAAGCATTTTAATTAGGTATTGAGATAAAACAATGATTCGAGGACACTATTTCTATTAAAATAAAGCCCTAAATGAGTCCAATTTGTGGACTCATCATCTGCTTCCTCATGTGGTTCTTTAGTAAGGCCTTATTGAATAAGCTAATCTTGTTCCTCCACACCTTGACTTTATTCTTGTTTTTGAGTATCCTCATCTTCCATCATATCCCCTATTGCCACCTTACCACTACGAGTAATCACAATCAACTATCTTTCAATATGGTCCATGGGTGTTGTGGATGTTAATTGAGTTGATAACATACTCAATTTGCCTTCTTGCATTTTGATGGCATTCGCATGAGAATTTACTTTGTTGTTCAATGATGAAAAGTCATCTTTCGTTCCTTTTGTAGATCATCAGAGCCCTCAACTTTATCGAGTATGCGTGGTAACAAATCATTTACACGAGGACTACTTGCACTCCCTTTAGATTTTGGGCTTTCACTCAAGTGAATATTGTCCTCCTCCTGACTATCTTGCTCAACCCAATCTTGCCAATATCTCCCTGGTTCTTCTCCTCTATAATAGCTCCAACCTTGATTCCCACCCTGCAGTTGATAGTGTTTGTGGGAATCCTCTTTGTATCTTCTGGAGTTCGAACCTTGATTCTCCCGCTGTCTTAAGTAACCGGAAGAAGAACCCTCCTCAACTCGGAACACCCCACGTGTCCCCTTCATATGTTCTTGTAGAATTTCCATTTGAGATAACATCTTCTTGATGTTTTCGTCCCTTACCCTTTCTTTTTCTATATGTTCTTACGTTATTCGGAAGCATAGTGGGGAGACTTGATCAGCTTTGGTATACCATGATTGATTTACTTTAGTCATCCCATCTACGAGAAATTAGGCTATTTCAAATGATTGTAACATTATTCCTCATTGCACCAATTGATCAGCTATTACTTTATTCACCGAGTCCAGACTACGGTAGAAGTATTGGAGCAGCAACTCACCTGGTTGCCCATGCGTTGGGAACTTAGGCAAAGATCTTTTGAACCTTGTCCACAACTCGTGAATTGGTTCACCCTCCTGGTGTTTGAAATTCTGGATATCATCCCTCAGCTTCATCATTCTTGATGGAGGAAAAAATCTTTCGTAAAATGCCATAACCAACTCCTCGCATGATCTAATGGAGTTGTTCATGCGCTCAATCAACCATTTAGTGGCTCCCCCAGTTAATGAAAATGGAAATAAGCGAAACCGTATGGATTCTTGAATGATAAAGGGGTGCACACTTCCACAAAGCCTCTTACATGATTATGCAGATCGTCATGCTCCAACCCTCCAAATAAACCTCTTGAACATATGAGTTGGAGTGTTCTGGTAACTTCGAACATTACATTTTTGTTAGCTTGTGGCATGCAAGTTTCACCCATCTCGCCCATGCCGGTAGGATGATAAATGCTATTAGCATCGTTGATGTCATCTCGATGAAAAGCACCACCTGCTGAGTGGCCCGCTTGGTAGCTATTGTCCCCGTTTGTACTCATATGGCCTGTTGTGGCACACAAATACTCAAAACAAAACTGAAAATTAAATTAGTAAATTACTACTAAGAAGAAAAAAAATTCTAATAGTCTAAAAATTCTCGAATAACACCACTCCCCGGTAGCGGTGCCATTCTAATGCTTATCCTGACCAATGACACTAACCTACGTTATGAGTGTCTACGATCGTCGACAGTATTGTAACCCAACTAAAGGTTGGGGTCGTGTCCCAAGCGAGTGGTTTTGAGAATTGATAGAAAACTAAAATTTAGCTCTAACTAGTCGTAGCTAAAGACATTAACGATTAAAACATAGTAAATTAAAGGGGACGACACAAAAGTGTCAAATATCAATTTGGGGGTTTTGTCACAAGTAGTAAAAACAACAAAAATTAACAACAAAATCAAGTTTGGGGAAATGTTCTTGGGGTGTGACCGCAATACAAGTTGAGATAAGTAGTTTGGTACATGCTTTTGAAAAGAAATTTGTAAGCTAATAGTGACTAGGCTAAGATTTAAATGGAAATAAGTTTCCTCTCGGGCAACTTACCTCGTTTCAAATGAGTTCCTCTCGGACACTTATTTGCTACATGAAGACCAGCCTACGCTTTACACCACTCACTCTCTCGAGCTGAGTGTTAGGATATAGGACCAGGGTTCACCCTCTCGGGCTGAACCTCATGTCGACCCACACCGTAGGCCATTAGTCTAGTGGTCTTGGTTTCGCGCCCTCCCTTTTGGGCAAGTCGAAAAGACATGGTTTTCTTTGTATTTGCAACTAAAAACCCTTTAGATTAAACCACAACCACTAGGTGAAATCACCATTAAACTACATCTAACCTATCAGCAAGCAAGATCCAACAATAAGATCAACACATATTTGCTAAATCACACCCCAAGAATGGGGATTTTAGCCACACATCAAGAAATAAACAAATACACCTAAAATGATAGTAAAATCAAATGTGTATAAGAAATTAAACCTTGATTTAAGCAAAGGAAGAAGAATGGACAAGACCCACTTCAAACCTGGGGAAGATGAAATCATTCTCTCTTTAAGTCTCCCACAAAACCCTCTCCAAACTTGAGAGAAAAATATCCAAAAAGTACTATTCTATTCTTGAAAGTAAAATAAATGTTCGACTCTTTAAAATTAATAACATGTTCAGTATTTATAGACTTCAAAAAATAACACTGGCGGATCTTTCGGCGAAGTTAGTCGATATCGCAGAATGTCTTCGGCGACTCTCTCTTCGTCTGTATCATCGCCATTTCCTGCTTGCCTTCAGCATCTTCACATTCTGGACCATTGGGTGGTATAGTACTGCTTCACAGAACTATTCAGCAAAGCCCCCACTGCTCCTTTCATCGCCTTTTTCATCCTTCTCCTTCAGGGCTTTGACTACTGGAACAAAGGGCGGAGTAAATCCCTTCGGTGAATTGCCAAGTGTGCTTGGCAATGCTCGGGCTTCAACTTCTTCATTCTTTTCATCCTTTTTATTCCTTTTTGTGCCTAAGTGTCCATGCTTTCACTAAAACTTCAATTACCTGAAACTTCAGAGTTTTCATCAGATGTTTAGACAAAATAAGCATTCGAGGACACTATTCTTATCAAAATAAAGCCCTAAGTGAGTCCAATTTATGGACTCATCAGCTGGCACTGGAGAACCATTACTGGTCCCCAAGTGAACCCTCATCCGAAATTTTATAAGCGGAAGACTAACTCAATCATACAAAAACAGAATATTGAAAGAAATATTTAACATCCTACAATCTCAAAAATTCTCTAATATATTGAG